TGACACACCCTCCACCTGCCTCCTTGCTCCTTCCCTCCAGCCCCGGGCAGGGCAGGTGGAGGTGCCTTCCCTCTCCCAAGAGGAGGGGCTGTGGGAGAAGCTCAGACCCCACCCCAGACAGCCAGGCCTGGAACCCAGGCCTCTCTCCATCACACAGCCCAGCATGGACATCTCAGCCAGACTGGCTCTAGGTCCTGGGGCAAGTGCCTCGAGGGGACAACATTGCGCTCACTCCAGCTCTCTTGTGTGGGTGGCCAAGGTGGGGGGCGGGCAGAAGCGATCTGTGCCAGCACAAAGGAGATGAACAATAGGAACCAGACAGAGAGGGCAGGACAGGGGTCCTGGACCACGAGACGGGCAGATAAACGTCAACCCAGAGCCTCTCGCGTAACAGAGCCCCGCCTGCCGACAGGAGCCTGCCCTGCATGAGACTGGACGGGGCATCACCTCCCACGTCAGCCAGCCTGCAGGAGGGCCACCCCCAGACTCAGAATGTGGGAACCCGGACCCTGTGCGGGACAGAAGGGCTGGGCCAGCACCCCCTTCCTGGAACCTGAGGGGAAGCCCGGCGCCCAGCTCGGACCGCTGGTGGGCCGGCCCGGCAGGCCCAGACCAGGCCCGGGCCAGACGGGGCTATCCCTCACCCCGGGGCCCCGCCCCCACCCTGTGCCCCCCCCCTCCCCTCCAGCCGTCCCACCGCCCCCGCCCGCGCCTCCCCGGACCCCAGCCGCCAGGCCGAGGGGTGGCCCAGGTGCTCACATGGGTGCAATCCACGACCCGAACTCTCTGCTCCTCGCGTTGCACTATCGCTGACCCCTTCGGGCGGGATTGACGGTTCTGTATCATAGCAGGCCATATGAACGTCAACCCCCTTTTACTGACCGGGAGATGCGGCCAGAGAACTTTGGAGCGCTTCGCAACGCCGCCCCAGTCGGGTGGCAGGCCTGGGACTCGAACCCGGGTTCTTAGACGCCGCTTGAGTCCTCGAATCCCGACGCTGGAGGCGGGGAGGGGAGGGGCGGGGCTTTCTCGCGCGCGGCCTTCTGGGAAGTGAAGTCCGCGGCTGCTCGCGCGCGGCCCCCTGGGAACTGTAGTCCACGGGCTCGGGACAGGCTCGCTGCAAGGGCGGGCCGAAGGCGCGCGGAACTACACTTCCCGGCATGCCGCGCTCCGCCCGGCCCTCCGGCCCCGGCCCGTCCGGCCGGCCCGCCCCGCGGCCGCGGTCCGCCCCGTCTGGTGGAGCGACGAGCCGCATGGAGGCCGGCTGAGGAGCGCCGCCCCGCCTTGGTACGCCGCGCGGCACAGGCCTGGGGCGGGGGGCGGCGCGCGGGGGCCCCGGCGGGTCGAGGTCAGCCCGCGGTCCAGGTCGGATGCTGCCCCGCATCGGGCCGGGCCCAGCCAGCTCCCAAGCGTGAGGTCTTGGGCCGGAAGGATCAGCCCCGACCTCTGAGGAGTGCGCGCGGGGCCGGAGTCGACCGCGAGGGTCGCGAGGGTTCGAGGGCTCGGATGGTGCAGGCCGGAGGCGGGGCCGGGGGGCGGGGCCCGGAGTCGGGGGTCGGGGCCGGGGGCGGGGTCGGCCGGAGTCGGGGGCGGGGGACCGGGCGTGAGGGGCAGGGTCCCCTCCTCCCCAGACGGCGGCGGCAGGGTCTCAGTGGAGACCCTGGGTGCTTCTGCGTGCCGGAGGCCTCTGCCCTTCAAGCCGAGCAAGCAGAGCTGCCATATGGGCAAAGGAGACCAAACTTCCGAGGCCTTGTAGGTCTTTACTTACCTTGTTTCTGTGAAGAGCTATATTGATACATAACTTACATGCCACAAAGCCCCAGAGTTCACGTATGCGTCTTTGTGAAAACTGTCCCGAGAAAGGAAAGCAAAGCGCACCCTTCAGCGAGGAGCTCGCTCAGAAGTCCTCGGCTGACTTTGGGCGTCAGGGCAGCCTCATCAGGAGATTGATGGTTTCCAGGCTGAATACTCCTGGCTTTCGGGGTCCCCTGGAGAGGAAGATGTCCGGGCCACCAGCTCGGCGCGCTCCTGTGCAGGCTCCACTCTCCCTGGGCCTCTCCCTTTTGCCGCTGTTGCCCCCCTTGCGTGGCTGGGAGGGAGCCCTGACCTTGGGGCCACTGGTCAGCCTTACAGGATGGCGGTGATGTTGCAGCCAGGAGAGGGCCTGGCACGGTGGGCGGGCAGGCCCCTACACAGCACCCTGCAGTGGAGGTCAGTGTGGGGACCCAGCACTGGGTAGAGTCCGGGTTCCAAGAGGGTTGGCCGGGTGTGGTAGGCCTCCGGCTCAGGTGTGAGTTGGCATGTGCCCTCTGCCCCCATCCTGCCCTCAGCCACACCTCCATAAAGCCTGCCAGACCCAGGAGGGTCTCCGGTGGCCAAGGTGCCCAGACTTCAGAAGTGGGGATGGATGTAGGGGGTCAGGGCTTTGGGCCGCACCTTGCTGCCTCCCAGGTCTCCAGCCCGCTAGTCTGTCCAGTTTGGAACCCTTGGCTTTGTGAACAGGCCTAGTGGGTTGGTTGGGAGATGTTTTTTCTGGGAACTCCATCTGGTGCTGGTCAGCTCTTGGTCTGGGAGGCAGTTTCTGGCTTCCTAATTTTTAGAGGGGTGAACGAGAGAGCATGGCTGTCTCAGTCTGCTCTGCAATCATGACAACATACCACTGAAGGGGGCTTAACGGTTTTCTCACAGTTCTGGAGACGGAAAAGTCAAGATCAAGGTGCTGGCTGATTTGGTAGCTGGTGAGGGGTCTTTCTTCCTGGCCTCCAGACAGCTGCCTTCTCACTGTATCCTCACCGGGCAGCTCTCCCGGGTCTCTTCCCAGGAAGGCTCTGATCCCATCCTGGGGCACAGCCTCATGACCTCACCCAACCCTCACCGTCTCTCAAAGTCCCCGCCTCCCAATTTCACCCCCACTGGGGTTAGGGCTTCAAACTATGAGGGGACACAATTCAGTCCATAGCCGTCCCTGGAAGGGGACAGCTGCCTGGACTGGGCAGGCGGGAGCCCGTGGCCTGCCACGCAGCCTGCACTGTCCGGTGTCCTCAAGTCTGTCCTGCCAGGGGCACCCAGCAAACCGTTTCCTACGCTAACACCCCATCCAACAAGAGCACCTTGACACGCTCCCTGGGGGTCCCTAGTGCAAGTGGGGCTCTCCCTGCCCTGTGAGCAGGTGCATCCTCTGGTGGACCCGACAAGATAGGTCCTCACGGGGGTCAGGGATTCCCTCGGATTTGGAGTTCGTTTTCCTAGAAGCGCGTGGGTGGCGCTGTCATCTGCGTGGAGCCAGATAAGGGTGGGGTCCCTCTCTGTGGACGAGTCTCCTGAAACCAAGTGGCTGGTTCTCTTCATGCCCCAGCAGAGGGAAGCTGAGGTGACATCTCAGTGTGGCACGCCTCGTGCTGCTCATGGGTGGCTGGGTGGCTGTTCTAACCACCTCGGCCCTAAAGGCAGGAGCTAAGAGCCTGGCGGGTTGGAACGACTTGCCCAAGGCCGTGCCGCGCCAAGCAGCAGCCTGAGATCTGGCCGACCCTGTGGCCGTCCCCCGCGGGACAGGCGCTGGCAGCCGCCTAGAGGGCTGGCCTCCGGTGGCCAGGCTCAGGAGGCCTTTCCCGCCACTGAGCCTGATGCCTCCCCAGGCGGTGCTCCGTGGACAGTCCGGCTCAGCAGTGACGCCTGTTGGGGGGGTGAGCACCTGAATTGGGCAGAAGGGTCTCCTTTGTGCCGGGCTCCCCAGGGTCTCGGCGTTGGTGGCCGCGGCGTGGCCAGGTTGCTGGGCGGAAGCCTGGTTCCGGGCTCCCTGGGGCTGTGCTGGCTATGGGAGCTGGGCACTGGAGACTGGCTATGGGAGCGGGCACGTCGATCTCCCCGCGAGGTGTTAGCCTGGGGTCGCTGCTCGCTGCAGCCAGTGGTGGTGTGATGAGCAGCCAGGACCCGTCGTCCAGAGATTTTGTGGCCAGAAACACAGCCTGCGGGTGTGGGAGATGGAGGCCGGGCCCGGGGTTCTATGGCGTTGGGCCCTTTGCTCCCCTCCCGTAAATGTTTAAAGAGGCTCGGATCGCAGCCGTAAATATTTGAAAATGCACCATGGTGAGCGGGGCTGCCTAGGGGTGGAGGAATTGATGACCCACTGAACTTACTGAACATCCTACAAGGGTAGCAGCAGGGGCCCTGGCGGAGGTTGCAGGAAACCAGGATATTGGGAAGTGTGTGCATGTGATGACATCAGAGACGCTTCTCAGAATCACAGGCTCTTGGCCCTGAAGGGGCCTCGGTGGCCTTCCTGCCTGACCCCTCCCAGGCCAGGCACCCACCCCAGCGAGCTCGAGGGGACCTGGGTCCTGGTGCTGCGGTTGGTGGCCCAGCCATCTCGGGGCTCGAGGCTCGTCTGCCCCCTGGGGACAGAGTGAGTCTGGCCTGGCCTGGCCAGGCCAAGTGCAGGGAGGGCAAGGGCAGGGCTGACCTAGACCTGTGACCCCCACCCCTGTGGGAGGGAGGCTGAGGCCTCGGTGGCCCTGCTCTTACCGCCTGTCACGTAGGCTTCCCAGGACAGCACTGGACGCTCCCTTGAGAAGTTTCTCTAGTACTTTGGCAGCCTTGTGTGAAGCGGACCGGGGGGATGCTCTCCTGGGCTCGGGAACCTGAGAGGCAGGCGGGCCCCAGCCCGGCAGCACACACAGCTTCCTGTTTCTATTTCGGTCGGTGCCTTGCATCAGTGGAGCGCCTTCGTCTGTGAAGTGGGAAGGAGGCGGCCCTGGGAGTGGTGAGGCCGGGTGAGCCGCCGCCCCTGGGGACCGGGCGCCCCCGTGCTGCGGCTCCTTCCCCGATGGCGGGGCGCCCGGGGGCCCAGGCCGGGCTCAGACCCCAGAGCCGGCTCCCCTGCCCTGTGCGGAGGCCCACGGCTCTGCCTGCCGCCCTTCTCCGCTGGCAGGCCTGCCCCCTTCCGGTCCTGAGCCAGTTTCTCTTCCAGACCCTTCCCCCAACCTCATTTCTTCCAGAAAGCACAGCCGTCCTCGTCCTCAGGATGGGCTGCCCCTGCGCTGAGCCACCTGCCCGAGCTGGTCCTGCCGGCCGCAGGCGAGGAAGCGGAGCTCCAAGCGGGCTGGGAACAGAGCCCGGGTTAGGGCTGGGCTCAGGGTCACCGGTACGAGGGGAAAGGAACTTGACCTAGCGTCGTGTTTATTTATTATTTGTTTTTCCTCTTTGTTGTGAAAGTGCAACAGTGAAACTGACAGGCGCCCCGGGGGTGTCCCACTGCCCGCATGGGGCCTCCCAGCACGTCCCGTCGGTTCACGTGTGACAGACATGGACTCTAAAAGCCCACGATACGGCGCCCACGACTGAAACCAAATTAGACTCGTTCCTCACGGGACGGCCTCCAGTCATCTGTCAGGTTCTCCCGCGGGTGCCAAGCCCCCTATCCTTTGGCGGCCAGACCCCGGCTCTAAACTCAGAGCTGGAACCGGAGGCTCTGTCAGACTCTGGTTTGAGTTTCCGGCAGGACCTTGGGAGGTTCGGGTGAAGTCCGTGTGGCGGATGTCCAGGACACCGTGTCCCAGGCCCAGCAGGGATCTTCCCTCTGCTGAGAACAGCCTTGCTGGGCTCCTGCACCCCGTCTCCCCTCCGGAAGGGACAGCACAAGCGGCTCCCACGTGACCTCGGGGGCTCGGCTCCTAGCTCAGCTTCTTCGAGTTTGTGCCTCTTTTCTCCAACCAGAAGAAGTCTCGGTTCTCAGTGACGACGGCACACCTGTGCTGTTCGCCATCCCTCCCCCTGCCCCTCCTGAGTCTGTGCCGACGCCTGTGTGATGCTGCTGGTGACACGTATTGTCGCCACATGTGGCTCCTGAAAGCGGGGCTGCAGCCGCACCGCCTTCCGCGCCAGCCCAGCACACAGGTTCCCTTCTGCCGCCTGGTTTTGTCTTTTTAGGGAATTTTATAAATTGTGTTGTATTCCGAAGTCAAACAGGAGGCCCCCAGGTCTGGCCGGCTGCCCCCGGGGGTAACCCCCTGCTGGGCGAGCGGGGGGCTGGGCGGCACGTCCTGCTCTCGGGCGACTCAGGCTCGCCGCCCGGGTGTCCCCAGCCTGCTCTCAGCCCCGCACCGCAGATCCCGAGATCACCTGTGCCCGGGGCCGAGGTCCTGCCCACGGATCATTCCCGATGGACGCAGCACCACGGGGCACTGACCCCCGTGCCCGGCCCCGGGGCTCCAGGTGAGGACGCGGCTCCTGTGTTTCCTCAGGCTTCACTCGTCGGTGCCGGGAGCCACCGCCCGCCATGGAGGGGCAGGACGAACAGCCCCTTCGCGAGGTCAGAGCCCTGGGCCGGGGGGCCAGAGGGCGGGGGCGGGGGCCGGGGCGGCCCCGTGGAGAGTGGGGCTCCCCCCGTGAGGCTCCCTGGGGTCCCTCTGGCCTCTGTGCAGAGAAGCCCCTCACTGGTCTTCCTGGGATGTTGCTAGTCAGCTGAGGGCCCGGGGCAGGGCGCCCTGAGGGCGGGCCGCCTGTGAGGGGATTGTCTGGGGGACACAGCCGACAGGCTCTGGGGCTTGGTGGGGCAGCCGCACGAGTCCCGGCAGGCCCCGGAGAGGCGAGCACCGCCGCTCGAACGCTCCCCTTCCCTCCGCAGGCCAGCACAGAGCCCATCGTGACTTCAGGGGGTTCGGAGGTGGTGCCCAGGGTGCTCCCCGGAGAGCCCCAGAACCTGTGTGCGTGCTCCCTGGGTCACCGTGCCGGGCGGGAGGGGCTTGGGCTGGGTGATCTCCAGAGCCTGTGGTGGACCAGGGGCCCCGGCCCACCGTGGGGGGGTGGCAGGGGGGCTTCTTGAGCGCGAGCAGGGCTGTGGCAGGAGCCCCCTCCTCAGGTGCGGAGGCCGGGTGCCCTGCACAGCCCCACCCCGTCCTGGGCCCCTCGGCGGCCTGGGGGCTGCCCTTGGCGTGGGGCCTGGCCGCACGTCCTGGTGAGCAAGTACCAGTGGCTCGAGGCCCGGAGAGGCCCCCATGTGCGTCCGCGTTCCGCGGGGCAGCACGCACCCCCGTCCCTGCGCCCCGGAGGCCCAGGCTGCCCGTGTGGGAGGATGGCCCCAAGCCAGGCCTTGCTGTCCCTGCAGCCGACGTGGACGCTTTCCACCTGCTCCTGGAGATGAAGCTGAAGAGGCGGCAAGAGCGGCCCAACCTGCCGTGCACGGTGACCGAGCTGGTGGCCGAGGACGGGAGCCGCGTGTACGTGGTGGGCACGGCCCACTTCAGCGACGACAGCAAGAAAGACGTGGCGAAGGTGAGGCCCGTGAGCCGCCACTAATGCTGCGGCAGGACACGCAGACCCGGGCCGTCCCTCCCGCCGTAGTTACTTCCAGCACCGAGCTGTCTCCACGGCGGCTGAGCGGCGGTGGGGTCGACCTGGGGGTGGGCCTCCGGGTCCGGCGTGGCTCTGCCCGTGGGGCCCGCGGTGAGCTGGCATGTCCGTCGCAGACCATCCGGGAGGTGCAGCCCGACGTGGTGGTGGTCGAGCTGTGCCAGTACCGCGTGTCCATGCTGAAGATGGACGAGCGCACACTGCTGCGTGAGGCCAAGGAGATCAGCCTGGAGAAGCTGCAGCAGGCCGTCAGGCAGGTGCGCGTGCCCGCCCCGTGGGGACCCTGGCCCGAGGGACAGTGAGGAGAGGCGGCTGAGGCCCCAACCCCAAGGCAGGAGCTGGTCAGGGACCCTGAGGGCCCCGGAGTGTGCTGGCAGGTCACCAGGGGCGGGGGTGGGGCCTCAGCGTGTCATGTGGCCCAGAGCTGCGACCCCACTGTGCCTCGCGCAGGGGCTCTGGACCCAGGACCCAAGTCCACTCACACTGACAGGTGCCCCAAGGGGGATGTGGGCAGAGGAGCTGGGGGTCTGGCCTGGAGGGGTGAGGGGGAAAGGGGGCACCCGTGGGGCAGAGGCCAGGCAGCCGGTCTGAGACTGCATGGTCTGCGGTGGGCCTGCTCTGGGAAGGTCGTCTGAAGGGCCGGGAGGGGCCTCTGAGCGTGCACCGTGGGTGAGGCGCCCACCATGAGGCCCTGCTGGACGTCAGCGTGGCCCTCACTCCTCCCCAGAGCACAGGGCAGGCCTCCCGCAGGGCCGCAGGCACCTCATGCTCTGCCGCGCTCCGGCTGACCGGGCCTCTCCCTGCAGAACGGGGTCATGTCGGGACTCATGCAGATGCTGCTGCTGAAGGTGTCCGCCCACATCACTGAGCAGCTGGGCATGGCCCCTGGCGGCGAGTTCAGGGAGGCTTTCAAGGAGGTGGGCCCGGGCCCGGCCGGGGGGCGGAGGGGGCTTGGCACTTGGGAGCTGTCCGGGGCCTGAGGCTCCCCCGCCAACACCCAGCCTCTGCCCAGGCCAGCAAGGTGCCTTTCTGCAAGTTCCACCTGGGCGACCGGCCTATCCCCGTCACCTTCAAGAGGGCCATCGCCGCCCTCTCTTTCTGGCAGAAGATCAAGCTGGCCTGGGGCCTGTGTTTCCTGTCGGACCCTATCAGGTAGGGCCCCTCGGCCTCCCGGCCCGGGAATGGTGACCAGTGGCCTGAGATACCCACAGAGCACTTGGTCCACACCTGGCCTGGCCCAGACCGCCACACGGCACACGCCTCTCATTCTCGGGCGGAGCCTCCTCTCAAAGGGCCTCCCCAGCCCTTCCTCCTGCCAGGATCCCAGACAGAAGGTGCGAGGTCCCCGCCCTGGGTCAGCCGTCCCTCGGGCTGGCAGCACGCCCTTCTCCCCCAGCAAGGATGACGTGGAGCGGTGCAAGCAGAAGGACCTGCTGGAGCAGATGATGGCCGAGATGATCGGCGAGTTCCCCGACCTGCACCGCACCATCGTGTCTGAGCGGGACATCTATCTGACCTACATGCTGAGGCAGGCGGCCCGGCGCCTGGAGCTGCCCCGTGCCTCTGACGGTGAGGATGGGCTGCGGGGTAGTCGCTGGGGACCCGCCAGGGCCAGTCGGGTGGGCGGTGCTGATGCGTCTCTCTCCCCTGCAGCCGAGCCCAGGAAGTGCGTCCCCTCCGTGGTGGTGGGCGTCGTGGGCATGGGCCACGTCCCCGGCATCGAGAAGAACTGGACCACCGACCTCAACATCCAGGAGATAATGACGTGAGTGCCGCCCACCCAGCCCTCCGTCCCGCCCCACCCCACCCACGTGGAGCCGGGCTGGGGGCTGGGGGATCGTGCGTCCCCAGCCAGGCCCAGCCCGCCCTCCCTTCCCCAGCGTCCCCCCGCCGTCCGTCTGTGGCAGAGTGTCCTGGCTGGCCGCGAAGGCCGCCTTCCTGGGCCTCCTGGGCTACGGCCTGTACTGGATGGGGCGCCGTGCCAGCAGCCTGGTCTTGTCACTGCCTGCCGCCCAGTACTGCCTGCAGAGGGCCTCCGAGGCCTGGCCGCACAAGTAGGAAGGACAGAGGGAGCCACCACGTCCGTCCAGGGGGCTGCCCGCGGCTGCTCCTGTGACACGGCCGAGGGGCACGGGGGGCCGGCCCCCTGAGGAGCTCCTGGGTGCCACCCCCCATGGGGGTCCGGCCTAGCCTCACCTGCCCTCTCCCAACCCGCCCAAATAAAGAATTATTTCACTGTCTGAGCTCGGGCTTCCCAGCAGCCCCCCTCCACCCCCTCCCTGCGGCCGCTGGGAAGTTCACCGGCCCGGGATGAGCTGGCGGGGGAGGGGTGAGGTGCGGTGGGCCGCAGCCGGCCAGCCCCTACCTCACTGTGCCTTCTCTCCGCGTCGCAGGCGGCGCTTCGCGGGGGTGCCGGGCCAGCACGCGGGGAAGGGCAGCTTGGCCCGTGCAGCCCTTCGCGTGGCTCCTTGGCGGCCCCGGGTGAGCGCCAGCAACGGCTGTGCCTACAGACGTTGTGCGTTTCTGGCTTTTAAAAGTGTCTGAAACTTTTCTACTCAGGTATTTTTAACTTAAAACAAACCGAAGCAAATGTCAGGAAATACTAGCCTTAAATCTGGTTGGGACCAAGAGAACATCTTTCTCTTGGAGTCTCAGTCCCAGGAAGACAGGGGTGTGGCAAGGGTCAGTTTCGGCCATGGGCAGCCAGGCTGGCCTCCAACTGCTGCCCGTCCAGCTGCCCCCGTGGTCTACCTCCAGCCGTGGGGGCTGCGGGGCCGCCGCCCTCTCGGGGTGGAGCCTGCCTGGCCCGCAGGCAGTTGAACCTGCTTCCTGTGCAGCTAGTGGTGGGACCTGGGGGTCACCCCGACCCTCAGTGGATGGCTGGCAGCGATCCACCAGGCCCGCCAGTTTGCACAGGAACCGCATTGGGTGCAGCTGGGCCCAAGGTCGAGCTGGCCCCATACAGCACTTGACCCCGGTCACTACCTGTTTGCGTCGTGTCCCGGTCACCTGTTTTCGACGTAGCATCTGTGCATCCCGTCGGGGCCCAGGGCCACGTTCGCTTGTGTCTGTGTTGACTCAGTGTCTAAACCAGGTGAGAGCCGTGGCCACAGTCTGGCCCGAGGAGCCTTGGGCTGGGCCATGTCCTTGTCGTTCACACGCTCGTGTACACGTCCGTTAGAGACTGAAATAAAATCTAATTTTGGAAGCTTGCTTTGTGAAATGTGCGGGAATGGGACTCAGGTGACAGGGAGGGTGGGGAAGGGCATCAGGGTGTTGGTGGTACCCACCCATCCCTTGTGGACCCCTGCCCTCCCTTCTAGTCCGCACCCTGGGGCTCCCCTCCCTGCCCAGCCCCACACCCTGGCATGCCGGAGGGGAGGAGGTGGGAGCGAGCCCAGCACCTTGAACAAAACTCAGTGGGGACCGGCGGCTCACATCGCCCAGAAAGGCGACAGTGGGCATGGAGAGGCGTGTGGGCCGCCCCGGGGGCGCGGCAGGAGGCGGCGGGGTGGCGCTTCTCCACGTGTTTGCCCCCCAGGAAGCATGGCCGCCTGCCCTGCGCTGGGTCTCGGGGCTCTTCTGTGCCTCTCTGCCCTGGTCCAGCTCTGAGGCACACTGTCAAAGGCTGGTAGGAGTGGGTGGTGGGCCCATGGTGGGCCAGGGGCTCCAGGGGCTACTGAGCTTCCCTCTGCCCGGGGTCTTCTCTCCACAGGTCCAGGCGGTCCTGCTGGGACCCCAGGGTCTGGCCGGGTGTAGGGGAGTGGAAGGGGCCCAGTGCGTAATGGCTGGGTGGCCTCGGAGCTGTCACCCACAGGTCTGCACCCTGCAGGCTTCTCACTCCCCTTGAGGACCCACCTGGGTACCTGCCCTAAACAGCCTGGGGGAGGGGCAGGCAAGGACCAGGCCCCCTCCAGGCTGGTGTTAGGGGGGGCCAGCTGGGCCGAGCGAGGGAGGCGGGGAAGCCAAGGCAGACCCTCCTAGGGCAGCAGGTGAAGGCCAGGTTGGACCCACAGGGAGAGGTGGGTCCAGGGGCGGCGGGAGGAATCGAGGGTCTGACGGAGGGGTGGGAGCCAGCAAGTGCTAGGAGCCTGAAGGCCAGCGGCTTCCAGAAGGGAAGAGGCCTGAGGCAGGTGTGGCCCAAGGCGAGAGGACAGTGGCTGCACATCTGCCAGGACCAAGGTTGTAAGTCACCTGCTGGACTGTCCACGGGCCCTTCTCGGGCTCTGGGTCTGGTCACCCGGAGAACTCCGACCCCTCCTGGCCCAAGTCTTCCCCAGGGAGAGGCTGCTCTCAGATCTGGGTGGAGAACCAGAGGGCCCCAGAGGTGTGTACGCCAGCCAGCCAGAGGAGCCAGTGCCCCGTCCAGGAGAGCAGCCTGCAGTTCGTGTATCACTTTGGCAAAAATATGTTACCGTGGGCTGTTGGGAGGGAAGGGCCGGGCCAGGCCAGAGGCCATCCTCAGACACCTGCACCTGGAACAGAGATGCTCTCTGGGCGCTGGCTACAGTCAGGAAAGGAGAAGAGAAGTCTACTTCCAAGGGAACAAAGATGCCCAGGATACAAGTTAAGTATAAAATAACATCCATTAAATTGAAGCCGTCAGCCTGAGGCCTGGGGAGTTACTGTGAGTCTTCACCCTATTTCTGAGAATGTTAGTGTATTCCAATGCAAGTTTGTATTACACTGACAAGCAGAAAAACAACAAGGTTTCATTTCTCAAACATATAAAGAGTGCTTAGGGGAGGGCGACATCCCTCCCGCCTGGACCGTGGAGGGGCAGGCCCCTCCGACCCACCCAGGCCCAGCCAGCACGGGAGGCGCTGACGTCCTCGCCCCACCCCAGGTTCTATGACAAGCGTGCAGACAGTGGTTGGACGGTGATTCAGAGGTGAGACGGGCGGGGAGAGGCTGCTGGAATTTGAGAGGTGCCGGCAGGAGTACAAAGAGGGCTTTGGAGACTGGGGAGGTAGGAAGGCCGTGCAGCCAGGGCCCCGGGGCCTTGTTGAGAACACAGGGCAGGCCTGAGCCTGGGTGACCACTGGCCGGGGCTGGAACACATCTTGGGCCTGACCTCCCAGCCCGGCCTGCACAGCGAGCTGACGGTGGATCTGCGGGACATGGGCAACCACTCGCTGCGGGCCCGCTACGACAGCTTCCGCGTGGACCAGGAAGACCGGTTTTATTGGCTCTACCTCTCGGCCTGTACTCAGGGCCGCAGGTGAGTGCCTGGGAGGGCTGGGGGCTTTCGTACCACCCCCCTGCCCACAAGCATCGTGGTGTGCTGACATGCTTCCCGGGCTAGGGGCTGGGGAGAAGGTTGGGACCCCAGAGTCCCCAACTTCTCAGCCTACTTCTGCCAGCCTCAGCTCTCCGGGAAAGGATGTTCCTCCCGGACCACCTGCCGGGGGGCCCAGATGGCCAGGATCCAGGATGGGGGTGCAGCTGAAGGGCTGCAGTGCCACGGCCCACACCGTACAGGGTACACGTTCCAGGGCTCCGGCGGTGTCCACAACCAGGAGGGCTGTGGCTTCAGCATGCTGCACCACACGCCCCATGGCTGAACGCCCTGCGCCGATGGCCCACATCTCTGCCAGCTGCAGCCGCGAGCCCTCACGCGCCAGCTGGTGGTACAGCGATGGTGACCAGGCCAACCTCAACACACCGAGGCCGGAGCGCACCGGGGCCAACTCAGGCATGCGCCGGACGACTGTGGACCGGCCCTGCACTCTAGCGGGCTGCGCACTCGCACTGCCACCCCCAGGGCCTAGGCCTGCCCTGCAAGGATGGCGCAGCCTGGCTATCGGCTGAGTCTTCTTGCAGGGAGGGGCCAGGAAGGGGCCAAGCTCAGCTCCCACGCATCAGGGCCACGTGGACCCTGCGCTCCAGCGGCACCTGCAGGTACCGGATGGGCCTAGGGAGGTCCACGAGGCCATGCAGCCCAAGAGTGAGGCAGAGGCAAGGTTGCCAGGGCTGGGAGGGCCACTGACCCTCCCACACTGACCTGCAGAACCACTGGAACCCACCAGATGTTCCCTCTGCTGTGAGCTCAGGCAGGGCAGGCAGTAGGGCACAGAGCCCGGCACTCACAGGCCCTCAAACACCCAGTCCCTCCAGATTCCAGAGTAGGGGTAGGACAGTGGGGTGAGGCGGCCAGGAGATGGGGCAGGAGGGCCTGGGCCTGGGGAAGAGGGGAGTCTCAGGTCAGGTCTCCCAGGTAGCTAGGAAGGAGGCTGGGAACAGGGGACTCTGCCAGCAGACCACGTGGGGAAGACCCCAGGTGGGTCCAGGTGGAAGGGAAGCTGCAGGAGGGGGCTCCAGGGTGCCAAGGAGGCTGCAGGAGGGGGCTCCAGGGTGCCAAGCACCTACCACGTTGTCCCCGTTGTCCGTGGGACCCCCCCACCCCACACAGAAGGCAGTGTCATTGCTCACGTCAGGGAAGAGGACCCCGAGCTGGAGGTGGGTGAGGGCTTCGCCGAGGTCACAGAGCCGGCAGGGGCGGAGCTGGTTCATACGAGGTCTGGGGCGCCATGCTGGGGCCCCAGGGTGAGGTTCCGAGGCGTCTCCCTGAAGTTGGTGTGGAATCGGGGCAGCGGGAACAGAACAGCCCCAGCCACAGGTGAGCTTACGAGTTTGTCCGCGGTCTCAGGTGTGACTCTGGGTCCAGGTGGGCAGGGGCTTGGGAACCCCTGCAAGGACCACCCGTGCCACGCAGGCATCAGCGGGGTCCCCTGGGGGGCCCTGCACAAGGCTCTTCTGAACAGAACCCCTGAGTCATTCTGCAACACTGACCCCAGCTCCTCACCTGGGGTCGGGCCCTTCAAGGCCAGGCTTGCCCTCCCCACCCTGCGCCCACCCTAGGCCTCCTGGGCATCTATGGGGGGTTTCTCTGGGCCAGGCTCTGTTCTGGGGGAACTGGTGCCCAGATCACCAAGGCTCCCACCCTTCCAGAGCGTGGGTGAGAAGAAAGACACACAGGAAACAGGAAAATAAGGGAATGAGCTAATTTCAGAGAGAAGTGCAAGGAAAAACACAGGAGGCAGGCAGGAGAGGTGGGCCTGGGATCCAGCCCGCGTGTGAGGAACCCTGCTTGGAGCAGGGAAAGAGCAGGAGCAAAGGCCCTGCACGAGGGAGTCGCCTGGCCCAAGGCTGGCAGGCTCTCAGCTTTGGCTTCGCCCTGGGGCTCTTCCTGGCCCAAAAATGTCCCCCAACTTTCGGACAGATCTGGACAAAGGTCCTCTTTCCCTCCTTCCCTGTGCGCAGTGGGCAAAGGACAATCCAGGGCCAAACCTCAGCAAAGCGTGGGGCCGGGTCTGACCTTGGCTTCACCGCGGAGTTGGGAGGCACCCCGGAGGTCCCATGGGGACGTCACTCGTCACGGCCACCGGCCCGGAGCGCTCAGCCCGGACTGGCCGGTGCCTCCGGGACGGACCGCCAGGGACCTGCCGTTGTGGCGCAGGGCAGTCATTCCGGACGGCCCAGTCTCCGCCGCGCGCTCCAGCCATCAGCCGCAGCCCCGCGGACCGGGACCCGGACAGGCCGGGACCTCGCAGTCCCCGAGGCGAGACCTGGAGCAGAAGCAGATAGATGGCGTGACCAATCAGAGCCAGGCTTTCGCGGGCGCCGCCCCCGGCAATTGGGCGGTGGGGCGCGGGGCGGGGCTTCCGGTCGGGGCACAGGGGCTTCCGGTCGGGGCACAGGGGCTTCCGCCGCCGCGGCGCCTCGGATGGCCGCGCTCCGGCTAACGCTCGCGGCCGCCCGCGCCCGGCTGCCCCTCGCCCGCCGCTCGCCGCCAGCGCCCTGCTCCGCGTCGGCCGGCGCCATGGAGCCTGAGCCCCGCTGGCTGGCGGGGCTGCGCTTCGACAACCGCGCCCTGCGCGCGCTGCCGGTGGAGACGCCGCCGTCTGGCCCCGAGGGCGCCCCGTCCGCGCCGCGGCCCGTGCCCGGCGCCTGCTTCAGCCGCGTGCGGCCCGCGCCCCTGCGGCAGCCGCGCGTCGTGGCGCTGTCGGAGCCCGCGCTGGCGCTGCTGGGCCTGGGCGCGCCGCCCGCCGACGCCGCCGCCCGCGAGGCTCGTGAGGCCGAGGCCGCGCTCTTTTTCAGCGGCAACGCGCTGCTGCCGGGCGCCGAGCCCGCCGCGCACTGCTATTGCGGCCACCAGTTCGGTCAGTTCGCCGGGCAGCTGGGCGACGGCGCCGCCATGTACCTGGGCGAGGTGTGCACGGCGGCCGGCGAGCGCTGGGAGCTGCAGCTCAAGGGCGCCGGCCCCACGCCCTTCTCCAGGTGTGTTTGCGCCCGTACTCGCGGAGCTGTCCTCCCCGGTGGGGCGGTTGGGGGGGAGATTAACTACGGAAAAGTGTGACGTGGGGACGTAGAACGTGGTGGGTAGCAGAGCCCGAGTCACAGGCCCTGAGGCCAGGACAGGAGGCGAGGGAGCAGGTTCTGTGGCTCGTGGCCGCCTCGCAGCGCCCGTCTGCTTGGAAGAGGGGGTGAGGGGAGGGTCCTGCCGCCCCTCAGGTCAGGCTGAGCGTCTGATCACACAGCTCTGGCAGCTGCCCATGCTCTGTTCTCATAAACTATCCAGAGAGTTCGGAGTCAGTTCTACGTGCAGCACGTTCATGTTTACCGCGTGCCCAGCCCTGCTGCTTGCTCGGCGCACTCGGCTTCCGGCTTCCTCTGAATGCTGAGCGGGCAGTCAGCTTCGCTCCCACACCCTTTAGCACTGCAGATGCCTACTGTGCAGCCGGTGCCCTGGACCGGGACAGATCCTCGGCCCAGTGGACCTTCTCCCAGGCCCGGGCTTCCAAGCACTTGGGGACCAGCCATGTTCTGACCCCGCAGTGAGGTGGGCAGTGTCAGATGCCCATCCAGGGGCTCATGGGCCAGGGCCGGGGTCCAGATGCCCACAGCCTGAGCCAGCAGGGCACCCTTCCCGCAGCTGTCATGCCTCTCCTGTACACACAGTGTTGATAGTCTCTGCTCCTTTTCACTAAAAAAGGTCATATATTTAGCCCATATTTGTTAAATGCTTATTGAATGGCTGAAAGAATGACACCTAACTTGGCGTTTTATGTTCCAAGAAATCCCGAGGGTGTGTCTCTGGTCTGGCCCCTCCCATGAGCTCTCCCCTCCCCTCCCTTCAGAGACCGAACCGGGCCCCCACCTCTAGCAGCGCCACCTCAGATCCTCAGGATAGCTGGTGCTTCCACATCCCCCAGTCTTCAAACCTTGGTGTCTCTGAAGTGTCCTGAGTGAAGCCTGGCACCCACCCCACCCTCCTGGAACAGCCCGCTCAGAGCTGTCTGCGCTCGTGGCGGGCAGAAGCATTTCTGCTCCTCGGGGTCACGGTAAATGTTTATCGCCCTGGGGCCTTCACATTGTACGAGCATCTTTCAGCTTTATGTGTTCATTTTAATCATTTGTTTTTGCCATTTATAAAAGACATTTTTGTGAGAGTATAATCTGCTGTTGCAAGTTGCTTTTAATATTTGAAAACTTGAGCTGTAAGTCAGTGTTTCCAGACCTGAGGTCCTTTAAAAGAAAGAGGCTGTTTGACCCTTACCAGATGTGCACCCACCCACCACCCCCAGCATTTCCTGGGGTCCCCAGCCTCAACAAGGCTTGAGGCTAACATCTGAAGTGGTGTGAGTGGCTTGAGGCCAGCAGCTGCTCGAGTCCCCCCGGCGTGGGTTTTGGGGGGTGCGCAGGTGGCTTCTTGCTTCTGCCTCCCATGGGAGTTGGGATTTCAGGACGGCCTCTCCTGCCAGGTGCAGAAGAGCTTGCCCTCAGCTGGGTCCACCCCAGCACTTTGGCTGGGAACAGACGTGGGCGCCCAGGAGAAGGGACCGTTGTCACGTGTCCATGGGGCTCTCTGGGGGCAGGGCCACCCTGAGGCCCTGCACCCTTGCTGTGTAATCATTATTCAGTTCTGCTTTCTGCTCTGGGCACTTTGCCCCAGGCAAGGAGATAGGCAGCTTGTTTTCTGGATCATTTTTACCAGATCCACAATTAGCTTGGACTGTACTGGCTTCCTGCTAAACAGGCTGGGGGCGGGTGTGGAGTGACATTTGAGGACGGATTACAGACTAGAAGGGGGTGAGTGGAGTGCAGCTGTGGACCGAGGGTCTCGTCAGCCACGGGCAGGCACAGTCACCCTGCAGACAGCCCCGGGGTGACTGGCAGGCCGGGTTTCTAGAGGTGTCACTCACACCCAGGCTCCCAGGTGAGGGCAAGGCAGGAGGCCTGCAGAGATCTCCACTGAGCCCCGGCCTAGGCCGCAGCACCCCAGACTCACGCTGGGCCCGGCTCTGGCCTCTTCCCGGCAGAGGACGTGGGCAGGCGTGCACCCTGGGCACCTTCACTCAGCCTCAGTGTCCTTCTGCAGGTGAGACGGAAGTGAGCCCAGTGTCTTCCCACCAGTTTTTATTCTTTCCTAGAGAATTTTCCAAACTGTTTCAGGTGCCTTCCTGCCTGGGAGAGTGCTGGCACACTGCCATGCCCTGGGCCAGGCCAGGAAGCCAGGCCCGACCCTGAAGAGCAGAGATCCAAGCTCACTTTGTTGTTGTGTCTGTTTGCTGGGTGGAGGCTCTTGGAGGTCGAAGTGTCCAGCGCCCTTCATCTTACAAGGAGGGGCTGAGGACGCGGCTCAGGCAGGCCAGCTGTTCTCGTGTGCTGCTACCACTTTCCTTCTTTAATTTTAAAAAGTAATAAGTTTCCAGTCCAGCATGTAAGAAACTTTGGAAATCATCACTCCACTCTAACAAGTAAAAAGCTGAACAAACTGAAAAATCAACAAGTCTTCTTAGATCTGCAAGAAAAGTGAGGTCAGAGGGCAAATTGCTGCCCCACCCCCCAAATTGGAGAGACTGACGGGCAAATGCAAAGAATTACGAGTTACCAGAGCGGAAGTCTGCACAGATCCTTGCCCTGTAATTGGTGAATTGCTGGAGGCTCAGTGTGTACCAGTCAGTTGAAAATTTCGGGGCCCAGTCCTAAGCAAGCCCCACACTCTGGTGAGTTTCACCTCCTGGAGCTCTCCTGTCTTCTCACAGTGAATATTGGTGGAAAATCCCTTTGTGCTTCTGGCAGGAGGGGGGAAAAGGAGGTCTGTGGAGTACACCAGAGCACTCTGTTCTGAACAAGGCTGCCCTTGGGGGAAGCTAATTAACCAGAGCCTGACCTGCTGGGGTGTTATCAGAGCCCCTCGGACCTGGGGAAGGGAAATGCCCAGCTCCAGCGCCCTCTGGCGGAGAGGAGACTGAAGAGCACATATGGAAGCTCTCAGTCCAGAGGCACAGGGTCCCTGAGAGTCTGAGGCCTCCACCTGACACCTGTAACCCACCTCTACATCACCGAAGGCCTGCTTACAGTAGTTCCTTTTACCCCATACATCATGCCTGGCTATCAAGAAAAAAATACAAAACATACTAAAAGGCAGAAAACACAGCTGGAAGAGACAGGGCCAGCATCAGAACTAGCCTCAGACATGGCAGAGATGTTGGAATTATCAGACCAACACAATTCCAATTGTGTTGGAATTTAACACAATTATGATTAATATACTCAGGGCTCTAATGGATAAAGCAGGCAGCATTCAAGAATAGATGGGCAGGGGGCTTCCCTGGTGGTGCAGTGGTTAAGAATCTGCCTGCCAATGCAGGGGACACGGGTTCATGCCCTGGTCGGGGAAGATCCCACACGCCGCAGAGCGGCTGGGCCCGTGAGCCGTGGCCACTGAGCCTGCGCGTCCGGAGCCTGTGCTCCGCAAAGGGAGAGGCCACAACAGTGAGAGGCCCGTGTACCGGGAAAAAAAAAAAAAAAGAATAGATGGGCAGGACTTCCCTGGTGGTGCAGTGGTTAAGAATCCGCCTGCCAACGCAGGGGACATGGGTTCGAGCCCTGGTCCGGGAAGATCCCACATGCCGCAGAGCATCTAAGCCAGTGCGCCACAACTACTGAACCTGTGCTCTAGAGCCCACGAGCCACAACTACTGAGCCTGCATGCCAGAACTACTGAGCCCATGCGCCTAAAGCCCGTGCTCTGCAACAAGAGAAGCCACTGCAATGAGAAGCCCGCACACAGCAACGAAGACCCAATGCAGCCAAAAATAAATAAATTTATTTATTTTAAAAATAAAAATAAATAAAATGAGACTAGAGGAATTCCCTGGTGGTCCACTGGTTAAGGCTCAGGCCTTCACTGACAAGGGTCTGGATTTGGTCCCTGGTCGGGGTACTAAGGTCCCTCAAGCCGCTCAGCATGGCCAAAAATAAATAAATAAAACCTTTAAAAAAAAAAAGAATAGATGGGCAGGCAGAGCAACTAAGCCCATGCACCACAGCTACTGAGCCCATGCTCTAGAGCCCACAAGCCACAACTACTGAGCCCACGTGCTGCAACTAATGAAGCCCTCACGCCTAGAGCCTGTGCTCAACAACAAGAGAAGCCACCGCAATGAGAAGCCCAGGCGCCTCAACAAAGCCCACGCAAAGCAGCGAAGACCCAACAGAGCCAAAAATTAAATAAATAAATAAATGAAAACAGAAAAAGAATAGATG